GTCTTTACCAGCTGCTCTTTTCGGGGGTAGTGTTACATAAGCAATGTGTAGCCCATATAGAAGAAAAATATATTTGAAATATATTTAAAAAATATTCTTCCCAAATATATTGACCTATATTTGAAATTCTACAATTTTGGCCATATTCAATATATTTCAAAATACATTTCAATATATATATATATATATATATATATATATATATATATATATATATATATATATATATATATATACTGTATGTCTTTAAAAATACAAATCTACATTTTTGGAATGCATGTACAAATATATTAAAAAATATAAGTTAAAATGATTTTTTTATATGTTAAAAAAAAATCTGAAGAATATATTTAAACAAAAAATATAATTAAAACATGCAGTATATGTATGTGTGTATATATAAAAAGGCATCAAATTACAGATTAGACATTCTTATAATATGTCAACAAAAGTTAGAATTTTTATTTCCATCATTTACACTTTCAAAATAAACAGAAAACAAAAAAATGGCATCTGCAAAAGTTTGGGCACCCTGCAGAGTTAATATCTTGTACTGCCCCCTTTGGCAAAGTATCACAGCTTGTAAACGCTTTTTGTAGGCCAGCCAAGAGTCTTTCAATTCTTGTTTGAGGTATCTTTGCCCATTCTTCCTTACAAAAAGTCTTCCAGTTCTTTGACGATTTCTGGGCTGTCTGTCACGCACTGCTCTTTTAAGGTCTATCCATAGATTTTTCAATTATGTTGAGGTCAGGAGGATTGTGCAGGCCATGGCAAAACCTTCAGTTTACGCCTCTTGAATGTTGAATCCCCCAGTGGATTTCGAGGTTGTGTTTAGGATCATTATCCATTTGTAGAAGCCATCTTCTCTTTAACTTCAGCTTTTTCACAGATGGCATCAAGTTACCATCCAAAATTTGCTGAAATTTTATTGAATCCATTTTTCCTTCTACTCGTGAGATGTTCCCTGTGCCACTGGCTGCAAAACAACCCCAAAGCCTGATGATTGATCCAACCCCATGCTTAACAGTTGGACAGAGGTTCTTTTCATTAAATTCTGTGCCCCTTCTTCTCCAAACGTACCTTTGCTCATTCCGGCCCAAAAAGTTCAATTTTAACCTCATCGGTCCACAGAACTTGTTTCCAAAATGCATCAGGCTTGTCTATATGTTCATTTGCAAAGTTCAAACGATGATTTTGTGGGTGAGGAGTAGAGAGGAGGTTTTCTTCTGATGACTCTTCCATGAAGGGACCATATTTGTACAAGTATCTCTTTATAGTGGAATAGTGTACCACAACTCCAGTGTCTGCCAGATCTTTCTGGAGGGATCGTTGCAGTCAAACGTGGGTTTTTTGAATTGTTTTTCTCACAATCCTGCGAGCTGTTCTGTCTGATATTTTTTCTTGGTCTTCCAGATCTTGCTTTAACTTCCACTGTTCCTGATGACTGCCATTTCTTAATTACATTCCGAACAGAGGATATTAACATCTGAAAACGCTTTGCTATCTTCTTATAGCTTCTCCAGCTTGTGAGCGCCAACTATTTTCAGTTTCAGTTATCTAGACAATTGCTTGAGAAGGACCATGGATGCTGATTGTTGGGGCAAGGTCAGATGAGTCTGGGCATTTAAAACTTTGAGATTGACATCACCTGGTCTTCCCAGACGATGAATGAGAACAATCCATGACACTTGCAGGTCTCAGCTTGGCCCAAAAGGGGGCCATGTGAAGCATGCTTTAAATTCTGCAGGGTGCCCAAACTTTTGCAGATGCCATTTTTTTTGTTTTCTGTTATTTTGAAAGTGTAAATGATGGAAATAAATATTTAACTTTTGTTGACATATTATAAGAATGTACTTAATCTGTAATTTGATTGCCTTTTGGGAGATTTTTCATCATCTTTCCTCCTGGCTTCTTTTATGCACATTAATACAAAGTTTTAGCGGGGGTAGCCCAAAACTTTAGATCCCCACTGTATATATATACTTGCATATTGAAAAGTGTTTTTTTGTATATTAACAAATAAATTTATGAAAAAAAATTTTTAACAAATATACTATATTTTTAATTTTATTCGTTCTGATTTTTTTTTTTTCACACATAAAAAGTCATTTTAACATTATATTTTAACATATTATTTGTAAATGCATTCCAATTGAAAGTAGATTTGTATTTTTAAAGGACATTACCTGTATATTTGAAAATGTATTTTTAAAAATAATTTTCAATATATTTTGTAAAAAAAAACGCGATTTCAAGACATTACAGTGTGTGTATGTAGTATGTATGTGTAGTATATATTATACTATATATAGTAGTATATATATATATATATATAAAAACTTTTATATATATATATTTTGAAACTATATTCCGAATATGGCCACAATTTGTTAGTAATTCAAATATATATCAATATATTGGGAAGAAAAAATCCAATATATTTGGAAGATTGTTTTTTAAATATATGGTCATTAATAAAATATGGTACTAACTGTCCATTGTGGGAGGCAGACAGAGAATGGACCAACTGACTTCAGGTTATTCTGTGCCTGCACCTCCAACACTGGCCTACATACTTGAATCTGTACATATCCCTAGGAATGTGTCATTTCCACTAGGAAGCAGACGTGGACTCTTGCAGCGTGCCAGAATGACCTTAAAGAAGTGCAGGGACCCAATGACTGTCCATAGAACGGCATCTCAACCTTGTACTGACATTAGCATGTATATTTTTCCATACGGAGATGAGAAGCCGATGTACCAACCATCTTTTATGCGGAATGTTGTCTGTCAGCAAGATTCTGCAATAAATTGTATAAAGTCGTTGTACATGAGGGCCTTACAATACCTAACACTGCTTTACATCTGTTGAGATAAGAGATCATCCACTCAGAGATTGCTATTGTTTTCAATGGAACAGCTGAATGCTGGAAGAATGCACTACCAGCACAGATACTAATGGGGTCTATTATAGAACTTTTACATTAATTCGTTCAGAAAGCAACATTGATTGCACAAAGTCAGAGCATTTCGCTGCACCTGACACGGAAATTTCGATCTCTATTTTTTAAACAGCATTGAATTCCTGCATCATCTGCTTCATTCTAGTGGCCAAAATGTATTGTTTTTTCGAAATTCACCTCAAACTAAAAAAATATACTTACCACTAGATGAAGCTGATGATACAGGAATTAATCTATGATGCATGAATTCTGATGACATTCAGCCAACGAAATGGTTTTATATAAAAAGTCATTCAGTGTATAGCTTAGGGTGTGGGTTGCCATCAATCCTTATTTCCATGTAGAGAAAGTTACACCAGTCACATTTTATGGGACTTTTAAGGCAACCTTGGAGTATATACAAAGAATCCGAATTATTTAAAAAAATCAGCATTTTATTTAAACACCATTTCTTTTTATCTGACAAATTACAGGATGATGACCAGAGATTGTGGGGGACATAGTACAGTGAGATGAGCAGAGGACTGCAGACCATAGTACAGGAGTTATGACAGAGGATAGATATACTGCAGGAGATAGACCAGAGACTGCAAGGGATAACAGTGGAAGGAGAGATGACAGAAGCACTACTCAGATACAGATACTATGAGGTCATGAGAACTTGATTGCACAAATGTCTCAGAAACATTCGCGCACCCTGAACGAAATTTCGTCTTCTTTTTTTAACAGATGAATTCCTGGCTCTCAGCTTCATCTAGTGGCCAAAGATGTATAGTTTTTTCGAATACCTCAATAAAAAATACAGGAGACTCTACCACTAGATGAAGAACTGATGATACAGGAATTAATCTATGATGCATGAATTCAGGATGACATTCATGCAACGAATGTTTTATATAAAAAGGAGCTCTACATTCGCGGATTTCAGTGACAGCTCTAGGAGTGTGGTTGCCATCATCCTTATTTCCATGTAGAGAAAGTTACACCGTACAATTTTATGGGACTTTTAAGGCAACCCTTGCGAGTATATACAAAGAAACCAATTATTTAAAAAATCAGCATTTTATTTCAAACCAGATTTCTTTTATCTGACAATAAGTACAGGAGATGACCAGAGATTGTGGACATAGTACAAGGAGATGACCAGAGACTGCAGACATAATACAGGAGATGACCAGAGACTGCAGAACATAGTGCAGGAGATGACCAGAGACATGCGGAACAGTTAGTACAGGAGATGACCAGAGACTGTGGATACAGTACAGGAGATGACCAGAGACTGCGGGACACAGTACAGGAGATGACCAGAGACTGCGGAGATAGTACAGGAAATGACCAGAGACTGCGGACATAGTACAGAAGATGACCAAGAGACTGCGGACACAGTACAGGAGATGACCAGAAGACTGCGGACACAGTACAGGAGATGACCAGAGGACTGCAACATAGTACAGGAGGATGAACCAGAGACTGCGGATATACTACAGAAAATTAAGAGAGACTGCAGGACATAGTACAGGAAATGACCAGAGACTGCGGAGATAGTACAGGAAGATGACCAGAGACTGCGGACATAGTACAGAAGATGACCAGAGACTGCGGACATAGTACAGACGATGACCAGAGGACTGCGGACATAGTACAGGAGATGACCAGAGACTACGGACATAGTACAGGAGATGACCAGAGACTGCGGAGACATAGTACAGAAGCTGACCAGAAGACTGCGGGCACCATAATACAGGAGATGACCAGAGAAATGCGGACATAGTACAGGAAAATGAACAGAGACGACTGCAACATAGTACAGGATGACCAGAGAGACTGTGGACATAGTACAGGAGATGACCAGAGACTGTGGACATACTACAAGAGATGACCAGAGACTACGGACATAGCACAGGAGATGACCAGAGACTGCCGACATAGTAAAGGAGATGACCAGAGACTGCGGACATAGTACAGGAGTATGACCAGAGACTGCGGACATAGTACAGGAGATGACCAGAGACTGTGGACACAGTACAGGAGATGACCAGAGACTGAGCGGAAATACTACAAGAGATGACCAGAGACTACGGACATAGTACAGGAGATGACCAGAGACTGCGGACATAGTAAAGGAGATGACCAGAGACTGCGGACATAGTACAGGAGATGACCAGAGACTGCGGACATAGTACAGGAGATGACCAGAGACTGCGGACATAGTACAGGAGATGACCAGAGACTGCGGGACATACTACAGGAGATGACCAGAGACTGGGCAACATAGTCCAAGGATAGATGACCAGAGACTGGGCACATAGCGCGTCAGGAGATGACCAGAGACTGCGGACATAGTACAGGAGATGACCAGAGACTGCAGACATAGTACAGGAGCTGACCAGAGACTGCAGACATAGTACAGGAGATGACCAGAGACCTGCGGACAGTAACTACAGGAGAATGACCAGAGAGACTGCGGACACAGTACAGGAGATGACCAGAGACTGCGGACGTAGTACAGGAGATGACCGAGAGACTGCAGGCATAGTACAGGAGATGACCAGACATGCAGACATAGTACAGGAGATGACCAGAGACTGCAGGCATAGTACAGGAGATGCACCAAGACTGCAGACATAATACAGGAGATGACCCAGAGACTGCAGACATAGTACAGGAGATGACCAGAGACTGCAGGCGGACACAGTACAGGAGATGACCAGAGACTGCAGACATAAGTACAGGAGATCGACCAGAGACTGCAGACATAGTACCAGGAAATGAACAGAGACTACAACATAGTACTGAGGAGATGACCAGAGACTGTGGACATAGTACAGGAGATGACCAGAGACCTGGGCACATAGTACAGGAGATGACCAGAGACTGGGCACATAGTACAGGAGATGACCAGAGACTGCGGACATAGTACAGGAAGATGACCAGAGACTGCGGACATAGTACAGGAGATGACCAGAGACTGTGGACACAGTACAGGAGATTGACCAATGGAGACTGCGGAAATACTACAAGAGCATTGACCAGAGCGACTACGGACATAGTACAGGAGACTGACCAGAGGACTGCGGACATAGTAAAGGAGATGACCAGAGACTGCGGACATAGTACAGGAGATGACCAGAGACTGCGGACATATACAGGAGATGACCAGAGACTGCGGACATAGTACAGGAGATGACCAGAGACTGGGGCGGACATACAGTCTACAGGAGATGACCAGAGACTGGGCACATAGTAGTACAGGAGATGACCAGAGACTGGGCACATAGTACAGGAGATGACCAGAGACTGCGGACATAGTACAGGAGATGAAGACCAGAGACTGCAGACATAGTACAGGAGCTGACCAAGACTGCAGACATAGTACAGGAGATGACCAGAGACTGCGGACGTACTACAGGAGATGACCAGAGACTGCGGACACAGTACAGGAGATGACCAGAGACTGCGGACGTAGTACAGGAGATGACCAGAGACTGCAGGCATAGTACCAGGAGATGACCAGACAGATGGGGGGGAAAACATAGCAGACTTAGTACAGGAGAATGACCAGAGACTGCAGGCATAGTACAGGAGATGACCAAGACTGCAGACATAATACAGGAGATGACCAGAGACTGCAGACATAGTACAGGAGATGACCAGAGACTGCGGACACAGTACAGAGGGATACAAGGAGATGACCAGAGACTGCAGACATAGTACAGGAGATGACCAGAGACTGCAGACATAGTACAGGAAATGAACCAGAGACTGCAACATAGTACAGGAGATGACCAGAGACTGTGGACATAGTACAGGAGATGACCAGAGACTGTGGACATACTACAAGAGATGACCAGAGACTACGGACATAGCACAGGAGATGACCAGAGACTGCCGACATAGTAAAGGAGATGACCAGAGACTGCGGACATAGTACAGGAGATGACCAGAGACTGCGGACATAGTACAGGAGATGACCAGAGACTGTGGACACAGTACAGGAGATGACCAGAGACTGCGGAAATACTACAAGAGATGACCAGAGACTACGGACATAGTACAGGAGATGACCAGAGACTGCGGACATAGTAAAGGAGATGACCAGAGACTGCGGACATAGTACAGGAGATGACCAGAGACTGCGGACATAGTACAGGAGATGACCAGAGACTGCGGACATAGTACAGGAGATGACCAGAGACTGCGGACATACTACAGGAGATGACCAGAGACTGGGCACATAGTACAGGAGATGACCAGAGACTGGGCACATAGTACAGGAGATGACCAGAGACTGCGGACATAGTACAGGAGATGACCAGAGACTGCAGACATAGTACAGGAGATGACCAGAGACTGCAGACATAGTACAGGAGATGACCAGAGACTGCGGACGTACTACAGGAGATGACCAGAGACTGCGGACACATAGTACAGGAGATGACCAGAGACCAGGAGTCACAGTACAGGACTGCGACTGCGGACGTAGTTACAGGAGATGACCAGAGACTGCAGACATAGTACAGGAGATGACCAGAGACGGCAGACATAGTACAGGACATACAGGAGATGACCTGTATATAAATATATGGTTAGTTTACCATTACTTAATGATAAAGACATGCATTAATAATTGATTGTTGACAATAATTATTGTTATAGGGTGGTATCCTTTCCCTGAGGAAGAATCTATACTAATGTATTCGAAATCCCTGGCTGAATGTATCTGCAGGTTGAGGTTGCAAGATGGAAATCAGCTTTGGAGGATTCTACTGGATACATACTGCAGCAACCACAATTATGTGAAGTGAATGACTTGGCAAAAGTTGTTGTATTTTATATTAGCTAATATGTATTGCTTACCCGATATGTACTAATTTGTCAGATAAAAGAAATCTGTTTAAATAAAATGTTGATCTTGTAAATAATTGGTTTCTTTGTACTGTATATTATACTCCAAGGTTGCCTTAAAAATCCCATAAAATGTACGGTGTAACTTTCTCTATATGGAAATAGGGATGATGGCAACCACACCCTCAGCTACACTGAATGACTTTTTATATAAAACATTCCTTGGCTGAATGTCATCAGAATTCATGCATCATAGATTAATTCCTGTATCATCAGCTTCATATGCCAAGGTTGCCTTGAAAATCCCGTAAACTGTGAGGTGTAACTTTCACTATAACAAATGTTTTATAAGGTGACCCTGCAAGTAGCACTGCAAAGAGCAGGAAGCAGAGCCTGGGTTTGTAATGTGCAAATATGACTGCCTCTGTATACATATGTTATTATAAAGTACAGTGCCTTGAAAAGTATTCATACCCCTTGAAATTTTCCACATTTTGTCTTGCTACAATCAAAACGTAAATGTATTTTATTGGGATTTTATGTGATAGACCAACACAAAGTGGCACATAATTATGAAGTGGAAGGAAAATGAGAAATGGTATTTAAATTTTTTTTACAAATATAGTAAATATCTAAAAAGTATGGCATGAGCCTCGTTTACTCTGATACCCCTAACTAAAATCAGTGGCACCAATTGTCTTCAGAAGTCACCTAATTAGTAACTAGAGTCCACCTGTGTGTAATTTAATCTCAGTATAAATACAGCTGTTCTGTGAAGTCCTCAGAGGTTTTTTTAGAGAACATTAGTGAACAAACGGCATCATGAAGGCCAAAGAACACACCAGACAGGTCAGGGATAAAGTTGTGGAGATGGTTAAGCAGCTTTCCGTTATAAAAAAATATCCCTAGCCTTGAACATCTCATGGAGCACTGTTCAATCCATCATCCGAAAATGGAAAGGGTATGGCACACTGCAAACCTACCAAGACATGGCCTTCCACCTAAACCAACAGGCCAGGCAAGGAGAGCATTAATCAGAGAAACAGCCAAGAGGCCCATGGTGACTCTGGAGAAGCTGCAGAGATCCACAGCTCAGGTGGGAGAATCTGTCCACAAGACTACTATTAGTCGTGCACTCCACAAATCTGACCTTTATGGAAGAGTGGCAAGAAGAAAGCCATTGTTGAAAAAAAGCCATAAGAAGTCCCCTTTGCAGTTTGCGAGAAGCCATGTGGGGGACACAGCAAACATGTGGAAGAAGGGGCTCTGGTCAGATGAGACCAAAACTGAACTTTTTGACCTGAAAACAAAATGCTATGTGTGCAGGATAACTAACACTTCACCCTGAACACTCCATCCCCACTGTGAAACATGGTGGTGACAGCATCATCTTGTGGGGATGCTTTTCTTCAGCAGGGACAGGGAAGCTGGTCAGAGTTGATGGGAAGATGGATGGAACCAAATACAGGGCAATCTTAGAAGAAAACCTGTTAAGAGTCTGCAGAAGACTTGAGACTGGGGCGGAGGTTCACCTTCCAGCAGGACAACTACCTGAAACATACAGCCAGAGCTACAATGGAATGGTTTAGATCAAAGCATATTCATGTGTTAGAATCGCCCAGTCACAGTCCAGACCTAAATCCAATGGAGAATCTGTGGCAAGACTTGAAAATTGGAAAAACAGACGCTCTCCATCCAATCTGACAGAGCTTGAGCGATTTTGCAAAGAAGATGTGCAAAGCTGGTAGAGACATCCCCAAAAAGACTTGCAGCTGTAATTGCAGTGAAAGGGGGTCCTACAAAGTATTGACTCCAAAAAATGGGGAAAAAATGTCTGTGCGTCTTATGGAGCGAATATAGAGCAGCCAGCCCGGTATTTCCCCCGTCACTGCCACCATGTTAGAATACTGGGCCGGAGTTACCGCTCGGCTCTTCTGTGCAGCAGAACCTGCTCCTCGGTCCTACCTGTTCCTCGGTCCAGTGGTGTCCTCATCACCGCTTGTTTCACCGGCCATCTTCTCTCTCGGGCGCCTGCATCTTCAGTGTGGGCACCCGGCTGTGAAAGCTTGCGGCTTCCCAGTCGGGTGCCCACTGTGCATGCACGAGAAGCGCTGTGCTTTGTGAATGGCCCCATAGTCGTCTGGGACCTGTCATGTGTCCCAGAAGATTATGGGGAGGGAGGGAGGAAAACTAGGCGATCGCAGCCAAAGTGGAAGCTGGTACCTGCCAAATTCGGGTACCTCCCCCCCCCGCTCCCAAAAGGTCTCTGGCCATCTCCTGTTCTGTGTCCGCAGTCTCTGGCCATCTCCTGTACTGTGTCCACAATCTCTGGTCATCTCCTGTACTGTGTCCGCAGTCTCTGGTCATCTCCTGTACTGTGTCCGCAGTCTCTGGTCATCTCCTGTACTGTGTCGCAGTCTCTGGTCATCCCCTGTACTGTGTCCGCAGTCTCTGGTCATCTCCTGTACTGTGTCCACAATCTCTGGTCATCTCCTGTACTGTGTCCGCAGTCTCTGGTCATCTCCTGTACTGTGTCCGCAGTCTCTGGTCATCCCCTGTACTGTCCGCAGTCTCTGGTCATCTCCTGTACTATGTCCGCAGTCTCTGGTCATCTCCTGTACTGTGTCCGCAGTCTCTGGTCATCCCCTGTACTGTCCGCAGTCTCTGGTTCATCTCCTGTACTATGTCCGCAGTCTCTGGTCATCTCCTGTACTGTGTCCGCAATATCTGGTCATCTCCTGTAGTATGTCCGCAGTCTCTGGTCATCTCCTGTACTGTGTCCGCATTCTCTGGTCATCTCCTGTAGTATGTCCGCAGTCTCTGGTCATCTCCTGTAGTATGTCCGCAGTCTCTGGTCATCTCCTGTAGTATGTCCGCAGTCTCTGGTCATCTCCTGTAGTACTTGTCCGCAGTCTCTGGTCATCTCTCTGTAGTATGTCAGCAGTCTCTGGTCATCTCCTGTACTATGTCTGCAGTCTCTGGTCATCTCCTGTACTATGTCTGCAGTCTCTGGTCATCTCCTGTAGTACATTTTGCAGTCTCTGGTCATCTCCTGTACTATGTCCGCAGTCTCTGGTCATCTCCTGTACTATGTCTGCAGTCCCTGGTCATCTCCTGTAGTACATTTTGCAGTCTCTGGTCATCTCCTGTACTATGTCCGCAGTCTCTGGTCATCTCCTGTACTATGTCTGCAGTCTCTGGTCATCTCCTGTAGTATGTCTACAGTCTCTGGTCTTCTGTACTATGTCCGCAGTCTCTGGTCATCTCCTGTACTATGTCCGCAGTCTCTGGTCATCTCCTGTACTATGTCCGCAGTCTCTGGTCATCTCCTGTACTATATATGCAGTCTCTGGTCATCTCCTGTACTATGTCCGCAGTCTCTGGTCATCTCCTGTACTATATATGCAGTCTCTGGTCATCTTCTGTACTATGTCCGCAGTCTCTGGTCATCTCCTGTACTATGTCCGCAGTCTCTGGTCATCTCCTGTACTATATATGCAGTCTCTGGTCATCTTCCTGTACTATGTCCGCTCTGGTCATCTCCTGTCTCTGGTCATCTCCTGTACGTATGTCCGCAGTCTCTGGTCATCTCCTGTAGTATGTCCGCAGTCTCTGGTCATATCTCCTGTACTTTGTCCGCAGTCTCTGGTCATCTCCTGTACTATGTCCCCGCAGTCTCTGGTCATCTCCTGTACTATGTCCGCAGTCTCTGGTCATCTCCTGTACTATGTATGCAGTCTCTGGTCATCTCCTGTACTATGTCCGCAGTCTCTGGTCATCTCCTGTACTATGTCCGCAGTCTCTGGTCATCTCCTGTACTGTATATCCGCAGTCTCTCGGTCATCTGGTCATCTCTGTACTCCTGTTCGTATGTCCGCAGTCTCTGGTCATCTCCTGTACTGTGTCCGCAGTGGTCATCTGGTCATCTCCTGTAGTATGTCAGCAGTCTCTGGTTTCACTGTGTCCGCGTCTCAGTCTCTGTAGTTGTTCCACAGTCTCTGGTCATCTCCTGTAGTATGTCCGCAGTCTCTGGTCTGTACTGTCCGTCAGTCTCTGGGTCTTCTCCTGTAGTATGTCCGCAATCTCTGGTCATCTCCTGTACTGTGTCGCAGTCATCTCTGTCATCTCCTGTACTGTGTCCGCAGTCTCTGGTCTCATCTCTCCTGTACTATGTCCGCAGTCTTCTCTGGTCATCTCCGGTCTCTGGTTCATCTTCTGTACTGTGGTTCCGCAGTCTCTGTCATCCTCCTGTATATGTCCGCAGTCTCTGGTCATCTCCTGTACTATGTCCGCAGTCTCTCTGGTCATCTCCTGTACTATATGTCGCAGTCTCGCTGGTCATCTCTGTACTATGTCCGCAGTCTCTGGTCATCTCCTGTAGTATGTCTACAGTCTTATTCTGGTCATCTGTACTATGTCCGCAGTCTCTGGTCCATCTCCTGTACTATGTCCGCAGTCTCTGGTCATCTCCTGTACTATGTCTGCAGTCTCTGGTCATCTCCTGTACTATGTCCGCAGTCTCTGGTCATCTCCTGTACTGTGTCCGCAGTCTCTGGCCATCTCCTGTACTATGTCCGCAGTCTCTGGTCATCCCTGTACTGTGTCCGCAGTCTCTTGGTCATCTCCTGTACATCTCCTGGTCACTGTGTCCGCAATCTCTGGTCATCTCCTGCACTGTGTCCGCAGTCTCTGGTCATCTCCTGTACTGTGTCCCGCAGTCTCTGGCCATATCCTGTACTATGTCCGCAGTATCTGGTCATCTCCTGTACTGTTCTATGTCCGCAGTCTCTGGTCATCTCCTGTACTGTGTCCGCAGTCTCTGGCCATCTCCTGTACTATGTCCGCAGTATCTGGTCATCTCCTGTAGTATGTCCGCAGTCTCTGGTCATCTCCTGTACTATGTCCGCAGTATCTGGTCATCTCCTGTAGTATGTCCGCAGTCTCTGGTCATCTCCTACTATGTCCGCAGTCTCTGGTCATCTCCTGTACTGTGTCCGCAGTCTCTGGTCATCTCCTGTACTGTGTCCGTAGTCTCTGGTTATCTCCTGTAGTATGTCTACAGTCTCTGGTCTTCTGTACTATGTCCGCAGTCTCTGGTCATCTCTGTACTATGTCTGACTTTTTCAAGGCACTGACATCAAGATGACCTTTTCAGATGAATATATAAAATTATTGAAGACACTATTCCTTTTAGGAACTCCCTAGCGTGTTTTATAAAAGCAGTTAGGATGATTAATATAAAATTTTAAATAGACTCTTTTCAAAAGAACATGTAAAACAAAGCATGTCAAGCCAAATAAATGGTTTCTGATTTTTTCCCTACTGCTTGGAGGAAAACAAATAGTCTAGAAAATGTGCAACCTGTGACAAAAAAAAAGAATTTGGAAAAACCTTACTTCTAGACATTACACACAATGACAGTGCTGTTTTATTTGACCGTTAACCTTTCCTCAGCTTCAAAATGCATTGATAAGAAACATTCTCTCAACTGCTGGAACTGATGGCTGACCTTCTGTGCAGATACTCCCCAAAAAGAAAAGGAACAGCTGCAATGAGTTGTCATTTTATACGGTTCTGTTTTCATCCCAAATGAAGTTCTGTTTTCTTCAGTGCAGAACATGTATCCCTTTTGCGCGTAACTTTAAACCTTCCAATTTTTGCTCCAAACAGTACAATCTGTGAGTTTAAATTGGGCAGAGCAGATCGGAGCCGGGCTGTGTAATGAGCATGGAAGGTCTATGTCACTATGCCAAGCTGAAGCCCGATGGAGAATCAAGAATGCGCTGGGGGTGCGGGGGGAGGGTGATTGAAAGCAAATGGGAGCAATTGGCTGTGTTTATCTCATGTCTCACACAAGATGACGGCTGACAGTTGTTATGATTTTGCAGCTATATAAAAACAATAGTTTAGAAAAATGTGCCTGCTGTGAAACAAGACGTGTGATTGGATTCTACAAAATGCTACTAATAGTGCAATAAAATGAACAGCTACCTCCATCCAAAGATGGTGATATTTCAGTTACAGTGAGGAATAGAAGTATTTGAACACCCTGCGATTTTGCAAGTTCTCCCACTTAGAAATCATGGAGGGGTCTGAAATTCACATTGTAGGTGCATTCCCACTCTGAGAGACAGAATTAAAAAAAATTCAGGAAATCACATTGTATGATTTTTAAAGAATATATTTGTCTTGCACTGCTGAACATAAGTATTTGAACACCTAAGAAACACCAAGATTTCTGGCTCTCAAAGTCCTGTTACTGTGCCTTTAAAAAGTCCACTTCTACTCCACTCAATCTAACTTAGTAGCACCTGTCTGAGCTCTTTAAAGACACCTGTCCACCCCACAGTCAGTCAGATGCCAACTACTACCATGGACAAGACCAAAGAGCTGTCAAAAGACACCAGAGACAAAATTGTGGACCTCCACAAGGCCGGAAAGGTCTATTGCCAAGCAGCTTGGTGAAAATAGATCAACTGTTGGAGCAATTGTTAGAAAATGGAAGAGGCTAAAGACGACTGTCAGTCTTCCTCGGACTGGGGCTCCATGCAAGATCTCACCTCGTGGGGTATCACTGATGATAAGAAAGGTTAGGAATCAGCCCAGAACTACAAGGGAGTAGTTGGTCAATGACATGAAAAGAGCTGGGACCACAGTTTCAAAGGTCACTGTCGGTAGAATACTACGCCGTCATGGTTTCAAATCATGCTTTGCACGGAAGGTTCCCCTGCTCAAGTCATCACATGTCCAGGCCCGTCTGAAGTTTGCCAATGACCATCTGGATGATCCAGAGTAGGCATGGGAGAAAATCATGTGTTCAGATGAGACCAAAATAGAACTTTTTGGTCTAAACTTCACTCGTCATGTTTGGACGAAAAAGGATGCGTTGTATCCCAAGAACACCATCCCTACTGTGAAGCATGGGGATGGTAACATCATGCTTTGGGGGTGCTTTTCTGCGAAGGGGACAGGACGACTGCACTGTATTAAGGAGAGGATGAATGGGACCATTTATTGTGAGATTTTGAGCAACAACCTCCTTTCCTCAGTCAGAGCATTGAAGATGGGTCGTGGCTGGGTCTCCCAACATGACAACGACCCGAAGCACACAGCCAGGATAACCAAGAAGTGGCTCCGTAAGAAGCATATCAAGGTACTGGAGTGGTCACAGGTCAGGTGCAATGCTTTGGCCAATCACAGCTGAGTTCACAATAAATGCCATGATTGACCAAAGTCTCAGTGACTTTGGCTAATCATGGCTCACGGCAATTGGGTGGAGCTAGCGGTGATGTCACCGCTAGCTCTGCCCAATTGTGAATGACAGTTCTGACAGTCGCCGGTCAGACATACACAACTGGCCGGAGCTAGCAGTGATGTCACCACTAGCTCCACCCAACTGTTTACCTCTGACTCACAAACATCAGATAGCGGCGAGTGCTCGACGAGTGCGGACAGGTTGAAGGGCATCATTTTTTTTTTAATTTTGGCAAGTTGGTGTCCTCGTGACAATGCTGGACACCATGATTGATGATGGATTACAATGCTGGAACCATTTTTTTTTTCTTTTTAAATAAAGGACTTGTCAAAAACTGTTTTTTTTTTGTTGTTTTTGTTCAATAAAGGATATTTTCAAAAGTCGGCTCTCTTTATTTGGTCACACTTTTAACTCTTTAGTGAATGGGTAGGGGTACAAGTGCCCCTTACTCATTCACAAAGGGGGGCAGCATCAGGGTGCTCCCTTATTTTAAAAAGGTACACTGATGAGCACCCCTGCCCGCATACCCCCACAACCACCGGGCCAGGGTTGTGGGGAAGAGGCCCTTGTCTTCATTGGCATGGGGACACTGTCCCAATTCTAAGGGCACGGGGCCTGGTAAGGCCTGGGGGGCACTCGTTCATCTCCCCCCCTTTCCTGGCCTTCAAGGCCTGTGCTCGGATCAAGGGTCTGGTAGGAATTTAGGGGGAACCCCCACACGCCCCCCAAATTTTGGGAGGTGGGGTTCCCCTTAAAAGTCTTACCAGACCTAAAGGGTCTGGTATGGCTTTTAGGGGGAACACCACGCACTTTTTCCCCCCAATTTTGGTAGGTGGGATTCCCCTTAAAAGTCTTACCAGACCTAAAGGGCCTGGTATGGCTATTAGGGGGAGCCCCACGTACTGTTTAAAAAAAAACTATTTACTGTGGGGTCCCTCCTAACTATCCTAGCAGTGTGGTATAGATTGGGGGGGGACCTCATGCTGTGTTTTTTTTTAAATAAACATATAATAATAAAAAAAAATGTCAGGCCTGCTGCAGCAAGTGCTATACATTGTACAGATGCGCAACTTTGCAGGTAGTTTAAGGGGACCATCCAGGCATGGTATTTAAAGGAGTTTTTCAAATAATTGTTTTTACTTTAAGCAAGGAAAAATGACTGCCCCTTTAAAAACTGTACTTTTTGAAAAAAAATTTTCACTGATTCATGTCCCTCAGGGCAGTATCCGAGTCCCCATACCCCTTTTATGGCCAATAACTTGCATATAAGCCTTCAAAATGGCACTTTTGAATTTACAAGTTCGAGTCCCATAGACTTGCATTATGTTCGATGTTCACGGTAGAACTTTCTATAGGTTTGAATGTTCGACTGTGAACCGAACTGGGGGGTGTTCAGACCATGACTACTACCCACTGTCATACCCTCATACATTCCACACTCACATACCATCATACACCTCTGTATCTAAATGAATGCTTCACACATAAAGTACATTCTACATTGTCTTTTGATTACAAAGCAAAAAAAAAGTGTCCCTGGAACTTTTTTTTAAATGTTAGCAACTATGCAAATACGCAGCCAGCAAGGATGATCTGCTAGCAATAAAGGGTTAATCATGTCCCTAGCCACCAGGGATTTTACTAGCCTATTGCATAATCGCCAAGAATGTACAGCCAGCATGGATCTGCTAGCAATAAAAGGGTTAATGATGTAAAGCTCAACATACATTGTAGGCTCTCTCTTTTAACTTTGGACATTGCATGGTTGTTGGTGACAGACGGGTTGGTCTGAGTATTTCAAAAACTGCTGATCTACTGGGATTTTCACACACAACCATCTCTGGGGTTTACAGAGAATGGTCCCAAAAAAAAGAGAAAAAATATCCAGTGAGTAGCAGTTGTGTAGACAAAAAATGCCTTGTTGATGTCAGAGGTCAGAGGAGAATGGGCAGACTAATTTGATATGATAGAAAGCAGCATTAACCCAAATAACCACTCATTACAACCAAGGTATGCACAATACCATATCTGAACACACAACACATTGAACTTTGAAGCAGATTGGCTACGGCAGCAGAAGACCACACTGGATGTCATCTTCTAAAGGCAACTTCAAGCAGGATAATGCACCATGTCACACAGCTCAAATCATCTCAAAGTGT